TTTTAAATAATAAAAAATATATATCCTTCATCAATTTACAGCTTTATTCTGTGGAATTACAGTCAATTCACTTTTACAATGAGTAGATTTTTGAATAGCTGTGACACTGTGCTAAATACCAGGTAGATATATGGTCTGATAACAGTCAAATTTCCAGGAAAAACTTGAAGAGGCTTTTGTTCCATGTAAATAATTCTGATATTTATCTGTGAATTCTACATGATTTAAAATTAATAACTGACTTCTTTCTATATGATAATATTCATGGACCCTGAAAATGGTGATAGAAATCCAGATATTCTGAACAAGAGTTTTTGTTCTATGAATTAAGAAATGAAATATATATTTAATAATCCAGTTGATTTTTATTTTGAGAAATACAATTGTTGAGTAAAACCTCTTTGTCTCCAGCTGCTTTAGCCAAGTGGATATTTGATATTGGAAGATAGGAAGCTATACTAAAATCAAGGGATTCTATGATTAGGGCAGAATACTTAAGCCATCATTCATCTTATTAATTGCTCTTTCTCTACCTGAAGATTGGAACCATACATTTAGTGGAGAAACTTTTGTAACATTATTTTATGATGAGTTATAAAACCAATTAATATTGGAGGAGTCACACCTCCAGCATCTCATTGATGTAAAATACTCGGGGAAACTCAGCTGCAACAAAAATATTTTGGGCAGTGTTTTACAAACTGAGTTCCATGGGTTAATAGTTTTAAATTATTGCTCTTCAGGTTCCTTGAGGATTTCAGGGCCAAATTAGTTTAGGAAACAGCACGATAAATACTCTTCTACTTTGCAGCTCATTCTCTGAAATCTTGTAATAAAAAAGCTATTTTACTTTAGCCTGACATCTGCCAAATGTATTTAAACTCAAAAACATTTTTTTTCATCAAATGAGACCTGCTGAAAAACAAGACACACACACAAGGTCTATTTAGTACTAACCAAAAATCTGTTTAAGAGTTTTCTCGAGAATTTCATGTGTGCCAAGTACATTATGTGTCACATACAAATTAGGTATTGAATTTACTTTAGAGATGAGAAGGCTTATTCTTAGAAAAGTAATTTGTTCAAAAGTATAGAATCAGTGACACTTCTCTTTTTCTCTCTCTCTTTTATTTCTCCCAACTGCCTGGTAAAATGGAGTTTGCATAAACTTCAAAAGCTCTTTAAAAGCAGGCTCCAAGTTTTTTTAAGGTTTCCTTGAATGCCTGTTTCACCCGTTTATTTAAACGAGAAGGGATGGGTTAATCTCTTTTCAACTCTTCATTTAGTTGATGCAATGTAACATGGTTAAAAAAGAATAAAATGGACTTTAGACTGAGAGATTTTGGTTCAAAACTTACTAGCTTTATGACTCTGAGATCTGAATTTCAACTTCCTTCATAAAGCAAGTATGAAAAAAATCTATTTCACCATATTATTGAAAAGATCAAATGAGGCAATGTAAAGTGTCAGGCACATACTAGCCACTCAGAAGCTGCTGATTTCTCTCTGTTTCCTCTTTGGAATATTTCTTACGAAAATGTGTTTTCAATATTATAAAGTAGAGGCATCTAAATTAGATTACTCTAGCTGATATTTGTACTCATATTACTGATGCTAAGAGTTAGTAAACTAAATAATCAGAATCCCTGACACTACAGAATGATGGTTAAATAATGTCTACTTTTGTGATCCACATGTATACTAATATTTATTGTGCTCTTTATTCAAAAGAAGAATAGCATACAGTTCCTAACTCTTCTTTGGACCAAAGGTTCATTGGTGACTGACTCTCCTACTACCCAGTTTAAGATTAGGAGAAATAAATTGATCAGGCAGCAGATATAGGACTACCTCTGATTATATCACATCATTGGCAAACTTTAAGGGCAAACTGTAAGTTCTTAATTTAACTTCCTATCTTCCTGGAAAGAACAAATCGACTTACAGACACCTTGGGTGGCAGCAGTTCTCTGGAAACATAAAGAAAAAAGCCTCACATTTTATTTTCAATATATGAGAGGAGGTTGAAGGGTGCAGGGATAGTAAGAAAATATACTAGGAGTCCATGTTTCAGTTATTATCTTGTAGTTTGAAACACTGTCCCCCAACCAATGTTTGAGTATTACCATATAATAACAGTGACTACATCACTTATTGTTCACTGATATTTTTTATTGAGGTTTGTAGCTCATGACTTTACATGTGATTGTACAGAAGATTTAAGGGGGAAAAAAGAGGTTGGAAAGGTTGTACAAGGGAAAAAAATCCAATAGATTGAAATCTGGTGGGTGTATATGGTAAGAGTAATGCCATGTGTAATATATGAGAATGTAAGAGACCAAAGCTTGCAATAGCTATATTCTTGCTCCTAAAAAATGATTTTTCTTATCAATGAGAAATAGCCTAATTAGTTGTTAGTTTTTAAAGTAAACTATCATTTTTTAAAAAGATGTATCTTGAATTAGATTTAATGCTTGGCAAGTGGGAAAACAGTATGAAAAACCTTTTTCAATTATCCTTCCATTTTCCAATACATTCACAGAAGCCATTAAGGGAAATCAAGTTGACCCTTTCTACAATTCTTGTCTTTGTAGTTCATAGGCAAAGAGCAGTGTTAGAATATACAAATAAGACTTGTTTATAAATGAAAACATTCTGATTGCCCACAGCTGTTTCAAGACATATCATCTTTTATTACTTAGGATGGTAAAGGAAATCTTTATTTTCAAATGCAGCATGAAAACCAACTTTAAATGTTTTTTTCCTCATCTCTTGATTCATGATGTCATTCAAAACATAAGATATTGTGACGAGTTGAAATTCAAGGCATTAAAAATGTTCTAGAGGACTAGGCAGTGGTCTGCATAAGAGGACACTGTTCTAGTCAGTGTATCCTGAGTTCCATCCCCAAAGACCTCTAGCTACTATTAGAGTTGATGGCATTCATAAATTTTGCCATTTTTTTAGGTCAACTAATACGTTTCATTTTGAAGCCAGGACTATTTTGCCAGTTTCACATTAAGAAGAATCAGAGGAATTTTTAACCTTTAAAAAGCCACTTTGGGTATGGATTTTAAACACATTTCCTTGCCAATGTACTGTGAAATTCTGCAGTCTTGGGCCACTGAGACAAATTTTTCTTTAAAATTTAGGGGCTTCCTTGGTGGCGCAGTGGTTGAGAGTCCGCCTGCCGATGCAGGGGACACGGGTTCGTGCCCCAGTCCGGGAAGATCCCACATGCCGCGGAGCGGCTGGGCCCGTGAGCCATGGCCACCAAGCCTGCGTGTCCGGAGCCTGTGCTCCGCAATGGGCCACAACAGCGAGAGGCCCGCGTACCTCCAAAAAAAAAAAAAAAAAAAAAAAAAATTTAAAATCCTCCAATACTGGACTAAGTGTAATCTTTAATAACCTCTCCCTCAGACCACAAAGTGGAACGTTCTCATTTCAAATTTTCTCATTCTGAATGACAATATTTATCTAAATTAGATACTTAGAAGACAGCTTTACTTTCTCTTCTTTCAAGCTCTTTCCTTTAGCATTCTAGAATGAAAGAAGCACTGGAATACTTTTAGACACATTTGGATTATGGAGCACTTTGATAACATATCGTGTACAACTGTCTGCAGAATTTTATGAATTGACTACAATAATTGAAGAGAGAGAAGGACTTGAGAGTAATATTTTCAGCAGTGTAATTATTTGTTCAGTCTCAAAGTAATATACATATATAATGAATTATCCTATGACTATTGCTTGGTTATGAATTATTTTGCACAACATACATAATTCCAATTTAATATTAATTTAATGTTTATTAGAAAGATTCATAGTAAAGCTCTAAAAGGTACAAAGCTACTAGTAGCATTAACTGCGTTGGCATACAACAGAGTAAGCAGATTAGAGAGTGAACGTGAATTGAGGCAACAATACTTAGACAAGAAATGCCTAAAGAGTGTTAAAAGTGTTTTAGTGTTTTCTGTGGAATCAGCAGGTTAAAATTATAATATGGTAAACTTCAATTTTATTTTTTTCAACACATCAATAGCATTGGGTACAGTGTTTAAGATTTTTATCACTCTAAGGAATTTTATTATTTTTTTCCTGGATAATTTTTCTCTGTATCTCTAATTTAGGTCCAGTTACCTCACCATGAATTTGCCAACTTGGTTCTGCTCTCCTGTTCCTATTGTGATTGAAAAGACTTTGTTATCTCAATAGAGGTTATTTCCGTGTATAGTCTTCCTAGACTTCTTCACGCGAATCAAAGTTCTTCTTTCACATGCCTTCTTAAAAATCATAGTTTGTATTTACCTAAATGCAATAAATATTCTAAAGGGACACAAATTAAGAAAAATTTGCGTGATGTAATATTAAGAGAGAGAAAGAAACATCACAACATAGTTGAAATCAAGACATTTGAATAATAACAAAGATCCTAGATGTTAAAGAAGTGCTGACTTTTAACTTTTAAAAGAGAGAATAGCAATAATTTTATTTCAAATGAGAATATGCAAAACCATAATAACTACCTGTTTCATTGCAAAAATCACAAAGTTTGCAATAATGTAAACAAGCTATTTCCTTTGCAGGCTGGAAATAAAAGGAATGGAGTATGTAAGTATGTGTATAGGTGAAAGTTGAAGATTGATTTCCCTTTTAAAGCAAAGAAGAAGTAATCAGGTTAATTGGTAAACAGGAAAGATTCCTCTTACAGCCTAAGCAGGAAAGAAGCAGCTACCAACACTTTAATGTCTTCTAGTCTAGAAATGAAAATTTAGATATTTAGCAATATTTTCCAGATGGTTTAATAAGGACCTATTTGCTGATTACAAAATTGAATTTACAGTTTGGATCCACCGAATCTATTTTATAAGGTCAAAGATGCGTCTCATGTAGAATTCATCCGCACAAAAATTCTTGCATAAACTATTTTGCAAAGCTGCTGCTTCAGTCTTGTGCTTCCATGTTCCTAATTTACTGATGTGCAGAAATCTAACATGAGATATATTTAAAGTATTACTTAGAAATGCGTAAGAATTATCTATGTGGTGAGTTATGCATTGCTAAATGTGAACTAATTAATTCTTAATACCTTGATACTATAATATACATTATAGATCATACATATTGTTATTTTATCTAAAATATTTTTGTTAGAGAAGAAAGGACATTCATGTCAATATTTTCAGAATTGCTCAAAATCAAATTAGGGTTTGCGTTCTTTTTTTTTTCCTCTCTCTAAATTTCTCTCTCTCCAAATTTTAATTGACTGTATTGTAATTCTGCAGTGTTTTGTGTTTTTTGAAGAATGCCCCAAGAAGTAGCACTTTGGTACACTACTGATGGACAACTTCTAAAAATGAATTATTCTTTCACTAATAGGAGGTGATGATTGATTAATTTGCAGTTGATCCTTAGACAACCCAGAAGAAATATTTTTTCTCTCCCTTTTGGTTTCTATAATTGAGCAAAAAGTCAGTCTTTGAAGTTTTTAATGTCATTTTCAAAAAATAAGCAAATTAGTCAATGGATCTGAACAAGCATGAGGGGAAAAGCTGAAGATATTGCCTAAATTTATGTCTATGGGTTCTTTATAAAATTACTAATTCACTTACATGTTTATCTCCATTATTATGAAAACATGTCACACCAAGTTAATATTAAAAAATTACAAGATGAAATCTTAAAGACCTTTCATCAATATGTCAACATTTTTAGATTAATGGGGAATTTAAAAATACACATAATAAACTACATTTTAAGTCATTGTGAATTTGTATTACTGGAAGTTAAGGGGTTTCCATTACCTGAATTTGATTACTACATTTTCCCCACTATTTTTATCTCAAGAAGATTGTCCTCATGTCAGTTCTTTTTTGTCATTATGATTATTTTAGCATAGCAATTATTATTTAAGTATAGTATTTTTAATTGTAGTAGAGTGAAAACAAAGAGGGATGTTCAAAAATTGAATTGGAATTCCAGCCTATTCTCCTTCACAAAATTTATATTTCTCCATAAATATTATTAGTTAGGAATGTGAGCTGTGCAACAATCCAACAGCTTCTGAATCAAATAACATGAGGTTTGTTAGCTAGTGTCCTAATAAAGTATCAAGTGAAATAGACCTCAAAGAGGAAAAAAAAGTGTAAAATGTTATGAAAATATTATTTTACGTGGAAATAATAATTTGTTTCATTGGCATAACTTTTACTTCCAGCTATCCAAATAATGTGCTATGTATGTATAGTATATTTGATGAAAATTTACTTCTTAATGGAAAATCAGATAAACACATCAGAAATATGCAAATAAGGTCATGAATGTCACAGGGTATTGCAAATATAGAGACAGCCAAAATGGCAAAAAATGAGAAAATTTTAAAGTTATTAATTTATCAGTTGCTACACATGAAAATGCATGTAAAAAAAAGATTCAACTTCAGGAATTCAACCCTTGCTAGTGTAAAGAGGACTAAATGAGTACATGTTAGACATACACAAATTTCTATTGAAATGTATACATAATTAACTTTCATCCAGTTTTGTTTTCATTATAGTCACATTGAATTTGGGGGAATAATATCTTCATGTGAAAGTCTTTGGGATCTTAAGTCTTGCTGAAAGCACACCAGTTACGACGTATGCGAGTTCAAAAATCTCACCCTTTCATCTTGATGTAAGAAGTTGGTAGTAACTAACAGGACTGAATGGCTTTCCATACCAGTTTACGTATTCAAGTGATTTTCTTCAATTTGGACTATGTAGAGCTGGGAAGCTATTGGCTTCAAATTTCCATATAATGAAACACAAAAGATAATGGGCAGGGAGGTAGCAATAGCAGAAAATCAGAATTGGCAGCATCGGCAAGCTGAATTGAGGTAGTTTCCCCATTATTCTGTGAAACTAGCTTCTTATTGATGGAGCTGCTTTCATATAGATTACTGTTGGATTGGCAAAACTAGCATAAATACTCATAAATCCACAGACTACATTTGTGTTTCTGAAGTTACCTTAAACATGTCTAAAAAGGATTCTTTCATTACCAAATGTATTCTATATAACAGATAGGCTAACCACCTTTCAGGTGCTAATATTGCCATATGTGGTATGAGAAAACCTAATTACTATTAAAGCTTGTGGTTCTCCTGCAACTTAGAGAAAATCTGTAGACTTAAAAAATACTTATGTCAAATGACTAAAAAGGAATGGTGCATAAGATATTTTGAGGTGATATTAATTTAAGGTTATGATGTACTCTGGCCCAGCACAGAATTTTTTCTTTTGTTATATATTTTAAAACTGTATGTATAGATTACTGGCTATTCTCTAAACTACTCCTTCTAATCTTAAGAAATTCATTTATAAGTGGCTGGTGCTTAAATTTTATTTGAAAAAATAAAGAAAAAGAAATTGCCAAGATATCACATAATATAACAGAAATTACAATTTGGCAAATGCATTCTAACTTTGCCCTAGGAGGATCTCCATGCTTGGACACTGCTGGTAAAGATTCTTCAGTAATTGGAGATCTAGGAAGTTTCTTTAAAAGGACTTTTCCCCTCCCATTTTATCCATATATAGAAAAACAAAGAATTAGCAAAAAACTGTCTTATAGTACCATCTTTATAAAATGGATATTCTCCTTGCCATTATTCTTGCATTTTTAGCCAACTGAGTGAATTTAATATCCAACATCAAAATGAAGCATACAAAGGAGGAAAAAATATGATTCCCCCTTCCCCAGTTCAATACTGAAATCTCTGACTGAAGCTGACTTATCTATAATAAGCCGTGTGACTGCAGTTGGCTTATAAATAAGCACATAGTAACCTATATATTAACCTGCTCGAAAGTACGTTATGCATCTTATTTCAGCCAACATAAACATGCCCATCCCATTTTTCTGGATTACTTTGCAAAAACTGTATAATTTTGTGCTTAGTTTAGGCAGTTGATTTCTTTTGCATGGCTCATTTGGGCCATAGAGGATTAACAAAGTTTATATATTGAAAACAGAAGGAAAGACGAGAAAAATGAAAAGAATAATTAATCATATAGTACATACATCAATACAATACCTTCTAAATCTCAATCAGTTGTTTATTGGTTGGCAAACAAGTTTCACTTTTACAACAAATATTAGTAATGAGGTCATCCAACTTTGAGACCATACAAAATGGATCATAAATTTAAAAAAAATTATATGTGCTGCTAATTTACTTCTTGTATTCCTACATTACTTAAAATCCTGTCAAATAAATAAATTTTCCTGTTAATAAACAGAAGTTTTTAAAAAAATCACTTCAAAATAATTGACCTTTCAATTCTTTCTACGAGGGAGTGAATTTCTTTTAAAAATTGGTAGTGCAGGTGCCCACCTGGGGAACAGACTGAGCATTCAGCACTTTCACATCCATGGGATACCATTTCTCACATGCAGAAGCCCCACTAGTTCTATTGACACCTCTTTACTTCTAGAATCATAGCTACTCTCTTAGTGATGAACTGCTTGCCAAATATGTTTTGCATTACAACAGATGTGCACTGTAAACAGAAAAGTTCTTCCTGCTCTAATTGCAAAAATGTTCTTGGAAATATTCTGACTGAATAAAGATATATAGTGAGGGAAGGAAGTCTAATTTTATTTATTTTATTTTTTTTGTAAAAAATAATTTGTTTGCATTACTAGAAAATGATTCTTATAAAGTGATAGCTTCATTTATTTTATTTATTTATTTATTTTTTGCCATGTGAAATTTTAAAGGAAAAAAGGAAAAAAAAAAAAAAAAACGAAAGAAAGAAAGAAAAGAAAATGAAGAAAAAAAGAAGAAAGGAAGGAAACTTTGCTCTCTTACTGGTAGACAAACTTGCAAGACCAGCACGAAAGAAAAAGAAAATTTCTTTTTTTTCCACTACATTAACAGGACTCAAATTCTGGAGGAACAGAAAGCAGACTACATGTGCAATGCTAGTATCTGTACATTACATAGAATTGTTCAAATTTTTTTCTGCCATTAGTTTTATCATCAGTTAATACAGCAAATCATAAAATATGCATTTAGCATATTATTCTAGAATTCCCCTCCATTCCATTATCGATTTTGTTGTTTTATTTTGTACACCTCAGCTATTCCTGCTGTGGTGAATTCAGGTTGTGAGCGACTAAAAACCACTATGTGATAGTTTGCTTTGATTTTATGTTTGTGCAGCACTCCAATCTAGATGCAGCATTGTTACTAATTTTCAAACAAGTGTTCTGGCCTTTTAAAAAATCAGGTCCTTGTAATTATAGTAACAGAGCATCAGAGATGTTAGAACAAACACAACATAATTCAACAAGGCCACAATGAGCGCCATCTTCTTCAAATCTCGTTCATTAACATAATGAAGTCTCCATCTGAGGGGGGAAGGACAGGAAAGAAGCTGGCACAGGGGAATTTCAGCAATGATCTTTCTCCCCTGGGCTGACCTAAAAAAATCCCAGTTTAAAAAAAAAAAAAAAAAAAAGAAGTCTGAGAGTTTGTGTTTGTCGTTTAAGAACAGCATATTTAGGAGTACACACATTATTACCACTGCTTATATCAACTCAGAACAGTCAACCAGGTGTTAGCAGTTTTGTTGGCTTAAATTTCTGTCATCTTCTATAGGCTAGTGACCAAATGAGCAGGTCCTTTTGAACTCCCCTCTGGAGGGGTCCCATCTTTGTTTGGAGGAACTATAAATCCATCACTGCTACCGCGGCCTAGCTGGTAGTAGGTATGCAGCTGATGGATGTGGTTTCTGGAGCCTAGGTTTGGCATGCTTTTGTAGTAAACATCTTCGGCATCACCACATTTGGCCAGTGGGGGTTCGGTCTGGGTGCTGGTGGTAACGCTCTCTGCGGCGGGCACACCAGCCAGTGCCGGCATGCTGGTGTAGAGAGAGTCCCTATGGGGTGACTGGAGATCTTCTGTGTGCTCGTTGGTTAGCAAAGGGAAAAAGCTCTCACTGTGGTCTTGGGGGATCCGCCTTCTGGTGTAATGATGTGGCTGGTGGTTCTCTGTGGAGTAAACTCTTGGGGGCAGCAAAGGAGCATCAGATTCCTCATGAATAAGTTCTAGGCCCAGACTCTCCTCATGGTTAAAGGAGGTGGCATCATCCAGGACAATGGCATCATCTTCACTCCCACTGCCCAGGTTATTCACCAGCTTGTTCATCAGGTTCCTGTTCTGTTCGCTGGAGCGCTCATGGTTATTCAGGTAAGATGGGATATAGTTGGAAGTGAGTTCCTTCAGAATCTTTTTCTCTAGGGCGGTCTCGTTATGGTTATAGCCACGGTCTATGATTTGCACACAGTTGCTCAAGTATTCGCCACTGGCAATGCTGTAACTATTGCCATGGTTACCATTCAGTGGTAGAGTATCCATGACACTTGTATCCCTGGCATTGTTCAGAAGCCCCTCTGAAAAAGATTACAAAACATTATGACATTTATATCCAATTGGCCATAGAACACATACACAAACACAAAAGCGAAAACACCCAACTATGAAGTATGTATAAATTGCTAGCAATTTGAATTAAGTATAAAATGTTTGGAAATAAAAAAATATTAAATCTGTATGTACATATCTGTATATATATATGATACTTGGACAATTGATAGAAATCTTATAAACAGAAAAGAAGTATTTAAAGTAAATCTTTAAAAGAATTTTAAAAAACCCTATAAATTTGCAATTTCCACACAAACATTGTTTGACAGTATTTGAAACATATTTGGTTATAACTTAGGGAAAAAAAACGCAAAATTTTGCTGTAGTCATTCATAGCTTTCAATTTATACACACCAAAGTCAATCTAATAATTCATTACCTTTAATTTTATGTGCTGTCTTAAAATTGAAATAGGTATAAAATTAACATAATTCATGTGTGGTACTTTGAATATACTGGTCAAAGTAAAAGATTTGAGCAGGCTCTAGTAATCTGATACGTAATTTATAAGATTGAAAATAATCCCTACACACAAAACCACAAAAGGATTATGTTAAATTTGTCAGAATGATATAGTCATGAAATAATGCCTAGTCAAATAAATGGCACTTCAAAGTAATTTGCACATAGGAACTTTCAAAAAAAAAAATTTGGATTTACTTTCCAATTTTTTTTTCTGCTATAAGTACTTTGGTTACTATTATATATTAATCCATTAGTAACTGTTTAGGGGCATTAGATAATTCTACAAAAGACTGTGTAAAGACATGGGGGATCTGATTCCTAAAAACACAGTGTCAGTATTAAAGGTTCCATTTCATAACGAGTGATGACTTTGTGTGCATATTAAACTTTGGGTTTAAAAGAGATTAAATGTCTTATTCTGGGAAGAAACAGCTGCAGTGAAATAAATTTGACCACATGCTTCTTCAAGGTTTTTGCATTTTCTTGAACGAACAGAAATCCAAGGATCTATAATAGTTCCATAAATCTCTCCAAATGCAAACACAAAAGAAAATAAAACACAAACATTTAACAAATACTGCTAAATAATAAAGGGTATTTCTTTATAGAACAATTAATTGAAGAATTCTATTAAACTTGTCAAAACATCACTAACTTGTGAAAATATAGCATTCATTCTATATCTGTGATGCAGTTATGTTTACCAAAACTGAACTAGTTCATTACTTGTTTAAATAAAGTATCCCAAATATAACAATTTTTATACGGACTTCTGATGCATACTCTGTATTCAAGTAACACAGTTTTCAAAAATAGCAATGCATTAAATACATTAAAAAAGCAGCCATCACAGACATAGGGTGAAGCGATTTATTTTCATGTTATAAGATATCTTGTAGACAAATCCACAATGTTAAGAAAAAATAAAAGTAAATGCTTTTTAAAGGGCCATATGTGATGGGTGATTGCTGCTGCAGAGGCTGCTATGGTAGGCTTGATGGTTATGGTTGAGCAACTGATGCATTGAAACATGTGTTTATTATTTCTGTTGTCAATGCATTGGGTATGGCTTGAAAACAGCCATAGTTAAATAAACTGGGTATGTTGCATGTATTTGTATGATGGAATGTAGTAATGAAAATTAAAAGTTTATGAATTACTTAGCAAAAATAAATGCTTAATTTAAAAACAATTTAACTCACACAAACATTACATGAGACTTAACAACTATGTTATGTGACACAATAAAAGAATCAGACAACAAAAGCGTCTAATCTCTATTAACATATATTTATATAAGTTGATTCATAGGTTCTTTAGTTTTTAAATTGTGAGATGAACTGTTTTTAATAACTACATCATCTATATGTGATGCAATAAAAGTGAACTGAAAAAAATTACATTTGATATGCAATGTTTAGCTTTACTCCCATACTTGTCTCTCTGTAGGGCTCTAAACGACAGCATGAAGAAAAGGAAAGAAAAAACAACAAGTAAGCTTACAGCGACAGTAGAAGAAACATGAGTAAAAAGCAAATTGATGATATGCAGAAAAAAGAGTCAAAGGAAATAGTTCCACTGCCCCAAAATTCATGAGTCTGTGTTACATGGTTTATCATAATTAAAAATACTGAAATGTTAGTCAGAAAATAAGAAACCCCCATAATACATGCTAATGAGTCTTTAATAAGCGTTTCTGCAGTTTGTAAATTTCAAACAAATACACACTTATTTTAAAGTTAAAATTATCACACCAACCAAAGAGAGTAAAATCTTGAGGGCAAGCTATGACTATTTCCACAACTAAAATTCAGTATTATGTATATGTGTGTGTGTATACGTTAGGACATACTTGCTTCTAAGGAATGTCATTTAACTTCAACATTTTTCAGCAAGATTATAAATAAATTCTTTTGTTTATATACAGAGAAAAATACCACAGTTTGAACTTTTCATAATTGTGTTTTCTCTTATGTATCTTCTCTTTTCATGTACAAAGGTTATTTTTCTCCCACTGTACCTATACAAGTGCTTTTTATCATTTGTAAATTATACTGATCGATACTGTCATTTCTGGAGCTCATATTCAAAAGTTGTATAACTATGGAGAAAGAAAAAGGCTAAATGCAACCATTATTCTGTATCAAGAAAATGTGAGGGGGGAAAAAATACCACCAATCAATATCAGGTTTTCTTCTGGACTGTTGCACAATCATATGCAATCTAACATTTTAAAAGTTAATCCTTTAAAAACAATAGTAGCAAAATTATTTAAAAAAAGAAAACTCTCATATTTTAATCCTGTCAAAAAACCTGCTCTTGCTGATTTTGTTTATAAGAAGGTTAAATCATCACAAAATAAAAACCAGCGATGTCATTGGGCTGTATCATTTCAAGAGATTCCAACTTGTTATAATTTAGCCGTTGCTTTAGAGATACTGTTTTTGTACTTTAAAAGTCGACTTGCTTCTCAGCAAAAGACCAACAATATTTCAAAATGCAGAGAAAATTTCTTTTAAAGTTTCAAAACACATTTAGAAAAAGAATTGGAAATAAAAAGCCAAACTAGTATAGCAACAGATGGAAATTGCTAGTAGGCTCATTATGGCTCCTTCCGTAAATGATAACATTTTAGAACTGGAAAGCACATAAGAGATAACTGAAGTTCAGCTCCTGCTTTTTAAGACGAGGAAGCTTCAACCAAAAGAGACTGAGCCTTATCTAACGTCACTTCTGCTAACAGTGGCAGAACTGGGATCATAATGGGAATCTTCTAGATTGCCTCCGTGCACTACTATCTACCTCCTTCTCCTCACATCTGCCTTAGGCTTTGAAAGCTATAACAGAATATTTATTTATATACTTTATACTATAACCTTGTATTCTTGACAACTATAATGTATTCTTCACTATATCCCATCCTAGAGATATGTTTTTCTTTAAAGTTTTAGAATTGAATTAAGTTACTTTAAAATGTAAATTAACTTGTAAAAGCATGACTTCTCTATATTACATTTTGTTGACAGGTTAATCTATAATGAGATTTATCTAACAAAAACTAAATTCTCCAATACTGACAAGAAGATAATGGTCCAGAAATACTATGCATGAAGTTTTAAATATTTCCACAAATAGAATCTGAATCTAATATAACAAAATTATATTATTTATCTTTATTCCTAACTCTATATGCATTAGTAATACTGTAACATATCTTTACATATTTTAAATAAAGGCATCACAAACAAAAATGGATACTTTAAATCTGAATGCTTCTTTGCTTGGATGGCATTGGTACAACAGAATTAAAGGACCAACAGAACAGAACCAAGTGGTAATTCAACATAATCCACTCCAGTACATACCGAGCCACCTATATTTCATGTAAGATTTCACCTTGCCAGTAAGAATATAAGTGCATTCATCTGAAAGCATAAGATTAGTAGCAATATGACAATCACCAAGTTTTTTGTTCAGTGGTAAAAAAATTATTTTAAGCACTATCATAGTTTCTTAACATCTCAAAAATATTAAAACATAAAGTAGTTGAACAATTCCATTTCTGACTCTGAAGACCAATAATAAAATTATTTACTTTTGTTTTTAAGAAAAGTCAGTAGAATTTAATTTACTGGCATAAACATCAAATCCATTCTGAAGAATCCTTTGTGTATTTTTTTATAATCTTAATAGCAATATTCAGTAATAGGCTCGACAGGAATAAAACTTTGGATTTATATGGTATTATTTTAAATTTTGTCGTGAGAATTTCTCTTTGATAGTGTTTATAATAGTGTTCCATCCTTAGAAAAATCTCCTAATTTAGGATACCAGGAGTAAGATAAGACAAGAAGGCAGATAACTGAATTAAGGAAAACATACAGATTAATGATTGTTAGTTTTTCATTATTTAAGACATTAGAAATTATATCTGAATAATCAAAAAAGCTAAACAAAATATGATCTAAACTATTACTTATTTTAAAACAATTTCCAACAACTCTTTGTATAAGGTGAATAATGTAGAATAGATTTAATATGCAAATATGGTGTAAATCTTCATTTAACATCATTCAAAACTTATTAATATGTCAGAACAATTTAAAATACTCTAATGACACACTTATGTCATTTAGCCCAATGAAAATAAAGGGAAAAACCCAAACAAGACTCTATAAGGTCTGCAAAATTGTTCTGACAAACCACATTTAGTGCATTATGTAATATACACATCATTGAGTGCTACAGTGAAATAGGGACATTGACAAATGGTAGACAATGTAAAGGGGGACAACCATGAAGAAACTTTCTCCTCCTGATAGCACTGAGGTTGCTTTACTAGAAAATGGAGGACTAAAAGAAGCCAGATTGACTGCCTTCAAATATTTAAAGGATTGCCACAGACAGCAGAAAAATGCTCTGCTCATCTTTGTTCTAGAAGGCAAACCTAAGCATCACAGCCACAGGCAAATTTCGACTTGGTGGAAAGAAAAAATATTTATAACGAATGGAGCACTTCAACAATTGAATATATAAAATCCCGAGGTAGGAAGGGCCTCATTAGAGGAAATACTTAAGCACAGGTTGACAGAACGTCCACAATGTGGTACAGAGGATTCAATGAGTTCTATCTCTTCTTTTGATTCTAAGTCTATGATTCTTAGGTGTAGGCCCTTAAGAAACTGGATAAAACTGACAGTTTGCTTAATTATTTAATCCTATTGAAAAACAACCTGACTATTCCTGAAGTCACTTCTGACTTACTGGCTTTGGTATTTTTGAAATAATTTAAAATTATCCTTCGTATCTGACAAGGTGTCACCTGGGAAACTCAGATGACCATGTTGCAACAAACATGCTTTTCTGGAATAAGCATGCACACCAAGTTTTTCGCACTCATGCCACTAATCTTTTACCTCTGACTGAGAAGAAACACACACACATACACACATACACACACACACACACACACACACACACACACAGATTCCCAAAGAGGATAATAGAAATTTTATTCAAGATTGCCTGGGAAAAATTTAAAATATTGCTAATCTGTCTCATCCAACTTGAAGGAACCACCAAAGTCTCTTTGTTTTTGTGAATTTTCTTTCAAATATAATTTTAAATAGGTGTATCACTGACTAAAATTTTTCTTTTATGACACTTTTACTTGAATAAATTTTTCCTGTGGTCACTTTATTTATGATATGAATATTTTAAATTTCTTGTACCCAAATACATTTTTTTAGCTTAGAAAAGGTAAAAAGTCATGTAAAAATGCTTAGATTGTAAGTGGTTTTAAAGAGATTTATGCTTATGTGTTTGAGATACAATTAAATTTTTAAATCATTTAAAGTTGGAGGATATACAGAGGAACCATATTCAAAACCTTTGTTTTTAACATGCAGCCACAGTAGAAAAAGCATTTCATGACCTTCCTGAGCCAGTTCATAGAGGCAATATCAAGCTATGGTAGAACGTGATCTGCTACTGTTCAATTCACTGTTCTTTCCACCACAGCTTATTTCAGTGTTTTCCATGGAGTTGATCTAAGTGCTTTCACCTGTAGTGATGTTTGTGCCTAGAGTGTGATTCATGGTATAACAGAGTAAGATTACTTTCTTGATCTTAAGATTGCTGAACCAAGTCTTCCTTTATCTTACTTACCTTAGGCAAATATATCATTTCTTAAAATGAATACATAGGTATTTAATATAGAAACCAATCAACAAGAAAAGTACTGACAAACCACAATACATTTTACAACATTACAGAGAAACAAACACATATTGATGAATCAAGCATTTGTTTATCAGAAGGAAGGAATCCATTTCTTACTAAGGAAAACCTAAGGAAAATGGAAAATAAAAGCACCAAGAGGGGTGGAAGGCAAAAAGAGTCTGTGCATCTGCTTCCAAAAGAAAGAAAAGGCAGGAAGAAAGAAAGAAAAATAGAATGTGGCCATAAAAGCTACATAAACTGGGACTCTCACTTGAAAAAATTAAAATAAACTCCAGCACACCTTGTGCGTTGTACATGCTGACAGAAGGGTTGTTACAGACCGCCGGTTCCCCAAGCAATGTATTATAGGGATTGTTAGTACCATGCGGACGAAGCAGAGCATTGCTTATAAGATGATTAGCCATGGCTCCTGGAGCAGCCCCATAGAAAGACAGAGAAAAAAAAAAAGGTCAATCAGGCAAACGTGTTTGAAAAAAAGGAAAGGAAACATTTAGAGTGACAACAGTTGATATAGTCCTGATTACAGGCAGGCAGCTGGTTAGACTCAAAAATATATGCCACTAAAGCACACGTTTCCATCAAGGCACAAATCCAACTCAAAGGGAAAGAAATTAAATGATTTACAATGTTGATGAAGCCACATTTAGGGTCTTCTCTTTCCCAGAGTGTAAGCAAAAATATATTACCATGCTTGCTAAAAATGAAAAAGTA